CCCCCTTCACCCTCAAAAAAAAAAAAAGGGTTTTTTCCTAAAGTAAGGCAGATAATGCTCCTACTTGGGGAGTCAGTAGAGCCTTTGGCAGTTAAAAGTACAAATGCTGGAGCCAATTGGCTGGTTCTTACTCCTGCTCTGCCAGTTACAAGCTGTATATATAATCTTGGGCAAGTTAACCTCCACAACTAAAACAGTATTAGTAGCAAGGAGTAAACGATTTAATGGTTGTATTGTCTTTAGGACAGTGAATGATACATAGTAAGAGAGACGTAGTATATTTTGAATCATTTATATGCATAGGCATGTATTTATAATTATATTTAAAATGTGTATGGTATTTGGGAAGGCTCCACGGAATCATTATAATTCCCAGGACAGGTCCTTGTATTAAATATTTATCTTAAGGGAATAAACATTTGGTGCTATTGTTCATGATGGTGATGATAAAGTAACTACAATAAAAAAAAAAAACCACCATAAAATAACCCAGTTTTCTTTGGCTTCAAAAGATGAGTATTGGAAAACCAGACTAGCATCACTAATTTCTAAGTTTCTAATCATTTTGTGAGCTGCCAGTTAACTCTAGACATTGAGGAGGGATTTTCTCTTCAAAGATACCCAAATACCTGAGAAGTGAACACTTCTTCATGACCAGAATTTATCTTTAGGAGTTATTTTGTCTGTCTAGACTCTGAAAGAATAAATATATGTATATATGTTTATCTATATATTACCAAATGTAATGTTCTCAATAAGAATCTAAATTCTCATTGGAGGGCAAACAATAATATCTTAACATGAGGGGGAAATGTGCACTAATAAAAATTTTGGTTAACAGACTATTTCTGAAATTATCTTTCAATTATTTATGCCATCATCCTAAAAACTACTGGTTTCAGCTCCCCTATCTTCAAGAAACTGATAAACATATAAAAGTGTAATATAATGTCAATATTTTTCAAAGTGTACTCAATTCCCATTAAAACCCCTTATTTTTTTTTTGTCATTCCCAGTCACCTTAGCAAGAATCTGAGTGAAACTAGTCAAGTGTGACATGAAAAGCTCACATTCTACTCCAAGCTGACTTGCTCAATTCTTGCTAGTCAAACACATTTTAAAGTGAAGGACTTTAAAAAATATAATTAACTGCTTTGCAATTACAGAAACAAGTCACTTTTTCAAGAAAATCAAATTACAATGATTTAGACAGAAAAACGAGTATTGTCTTTCTTTTAATATACATTCTGCACTTAGGTGGCTGGATAAACCCAACTCCCAGCTATTCTTATACTTAAAAAATATCTGTAAGGAATGAGATGTGCCTTTAGAAAAAGAAATGAAATTGCCAGGAGTGGAAAATAAATAGAAACTATAAAAAATAATGAGTAAATTGATTAGTAACTCTCCTATCCTACTTGGAAACTACAGCAAGATTCTTATACCAAAACAGAAATATTATTCTCTTAAAATACAAATCTTTTTTTAAGTAGTCAAGGCATTAAAAATTTCTTTTCCAGCACTACACGATTAATATATCTTAAAAGAAAAGCAAATTAAAAATCATGCATTCTAAAATGAAAAAGGGAGCGCTGGTGGTTTAAGTGTTTAGGAACTGTGCAAAGGTGTGGTTTGAATCCACCAGTTGCTCTGAGGAGGAGAGTTGGGTAATCTCCTCCATGTGATTTACTGCCTCTGAAAACCCACACACGGGTCAGCTATAGGTCAGTTCTGACTCAACAGTCCTCAACAAGAGATTAAGAAAGGAATTCTCCCTTAGGTGGCAAAATACAATTTTTTAAAAGAAGAGAAAATTTAAAATGTTCACTGAACAGACGACAAAAAGGAAGGGAAAGGAGGAAAAAAAGGACTGACCCACTCGAAATGCTAGTGGTTTTCCTTTATTTAATTGTTCTTGTTCTCTGTGGTAGATTAATACCTTCTGAAGAAGCACCTGGGCCAACTCTTTTTTCCTGTGGTGAGCTGATTCTATAAGAGTAATGGCCTCTGCTAAGCAGGCCCTTTGTCCCTGGATTAAGCCAGTATAAAGTTTATCCACAAATCTTTGCTCTTTATCAGAAAGTCTTTCTGTGTGTTGCTTTAAGGTTGTTTGGACACATAATTTTCTCTTTACACCAACTGATGGCAGCATCCGCTTTGTACAATAGAGTCCAAGAGAATTAAATGGCTGAGTACATGAGATTCCTGATCCGAGGTGAGTACTTGAGGGACAGATGAAGCGGGAACGCAGGAAAGGTGTGCTTAAAAGGCCTCTTAGGAGATGCTGGTGAGAACACTGGAGCAGCACAGGAATATTCATTTTGTTTCTACCTGAAGAAAACACTGCCAGCTTTTCATTCAATGTGATTTGTGACCTCCCTAGAAGAAAGAAAAACATATTTTTTGCCAGTTCAATATACAACTGAGATACATAAGTGCTAAAATGGAAAGTACAGCATTTTCTCTACATATTAAAACACAATAATCAGCGTTCTTGATAGCACAAATGGAAGTTCACTAAGAAAACTTTTTATTAAAAAAGACTGTCTACTTGACCACAGTCAGAATTCAACGTAACCCAAATTTTGAAATCAATACTGGACTGTAAACTACAATTTAAATTAAATGTCTTTCTGAACAAACTATACAAAGTCCGTCTGTGTAGAAATGCTATGGTTTGCTTAGTTTCTTTCTGTAAGTATATTTTACATGCATCTTAACAATTTTCCTAAATCAGATATAGCTTATTTTGCAGCTCAGCTCAGACAAAAGATTCACATTTGTTTCTTCTGGTGTTGGTTTTTTGGGTTGTTGTTGTTTTTTATAAAGACTTCCAGGAGTTTTTATTTCTTTTTAATAAAATTTTTATTTTATACTGGGTTACTTACAAAGTCATATACATTGTTTTTCACACTGGATCTTTCTTTCCCATTTTCTTTCCCCACCTCTCCCTCTGCCTATCAAACTTTGCGACCCTATGATGACTCCCCTGCCCATCCTCACCCCTCTGCTCCCACCCTCCCCACCTTGGATTCTCATACATGTTCTACTAGTTATCTATTTCTACAATAATGGTCTTATACAGTATTTGTCCTTATGGGTCTGAGTTAGTTCACTTAGCATAATACTCTCTAGTCCCTCCCAAGTTAGGTAGTGATTTTCAAGAACATGGAAACTGCCCAAATGTCCAACCAGAATCGAATGAATTGAGAAAGTATGATTCATTCACATGATGGACTACTTACACAGCACACAGGAGCAAGGATTCTGAAAATCACTGGTGTTGGTTTTCATGCTTTTTCTACAAAGGATATGTAGTATAGGCACAGGCACATGGCCAGAATGACCTAGCTTAAGTGAATAAATGAAAAACGGAAAAGGTATTCACAGGAAGTGAGATGAGAGTTGTAAAGTCACTAAATCTGTGTACCGCTAAGCACAGCTAAAATCACCAAGATACTTTATTAAAAACACGTAGTTCCTGCCCCATTCAACACAGTTTCAATAGGCAAACACACTAAGGTTTGAAGCATTATGGTATTAGATGAAGCTCTTATCCTTGCATGTCCTGATATTCTCTACATCTAATTATACTAGACAATGGAAGCTGACCCTGCACAGTGAGAAGGGGGAGAGTACAGAGGTTCCAAGCCATGGCCACTCTTGAGTCTCGGCCACTTAACTGTTAACAATCTCGGGCAAATTACTCAACCACTCGGTGCCTCAGAGTTCACATGAGCAAAAGGTGGATAAGAAGAGTACTTCCTAACAGGGTGATGGTAATTAATGTAAAAGGCTTAAAAGAGTACCTAACACACATGTAGTAAGAGCCCAATAAAATAATAGCTCTTACTTTCATTACACCAATTTATAAAAACATTAGGAATAACTAGGTCAAAGACCTAGCTTGCAGTGGCAAACTACGATTTACAGATACACACAGAACTTACCTGGTTTGGGCTTCTACGATTATAAATTTTGGTTTCAAGTACTTCATAGCTACAACGAAATAAGATTGTTTTATTGCTTCAAATCATCTTCCTAAATGGTACTTAAAGCACAATTAATGTAAAGTTAACTTTTAGCTAATTATCATGCTAAGAAGGGAAAAAGTAGAAATATAGTAAGTTTTTTGGTTCCTATTACTGTTAAAACTGTAACTGCCTATCAATTTTCCAAAGACAACTTGTTTGATGCTGGCACAGAATACTGAATAGTCTACGCACTGACAAAAGAATGAACAAGCGTGTCTTTTAGGAAGTACAGCCAGTGCTCTTTAAAAGCCAGGATGATTAGACTTTGTCTCATGCACTTTACACAAGTTATGAGGAGAGGCGGCCAGTCTCTGGAGAAGCAGCACATCATGCCTGGGAAAGTGGAGGGTCAGCAAAAGAGAGGAAGCTCCTCAACTAGATGGACTGAGACAGTTACTACAATATGTTTAAGCAAAGCAGGGATTATGGAGATGGCAGGGGTTTTTGTTGAATCCAGGCCTGCCAAGAATCAAAGACAACACAAAGGCACCTAACAACAACAACCAATATGTTTTTTGGACTTTATGGCTTCTTTTATAAAAGTGATTCTTCCCTTTTCCTTCATCCTCCTCTACCACCCTCCAAATAGTGCAATTCTGTGGTTTTCCCCTTGCCCATCCTCACCGCACCTCCTTCCCCCTTGGGTCTTCATACATGTTTTACTAGTTATCCTTCTATTCACAATAATATTTTAAACAAAGAGGGGGCCTACTTACTATCATCTTCAAGCACACTCCTCTCATCAACTTTCCTCCCTTCTCCTCCCCTAATTAATACCACTATCCTCAAAACTTATAGACAAGAAGAGTATTTTCAGTTCACCACTACATCCTGAGCAGACTCCTGTGCAGGTGTCATTCTAGGCGAGAGGAGTTACAGAGATGCTGTAAACATACTGATGGAGATAATACTGATGGTACTTTAGCATGTCCCAGTCATTGCTCTTTAGTAGTCACCTAGGGTTGCAACACTAAATTTCCACTGATCTGGAGGCTTAAAATGAGAGAAATTCTTTCACAGTTCTAGAAGCCAGAATTCCCAAATCAAGCTGCTAGCAGAACCAAGCTCTCTGCAGAGGCTCTCGGTAAAACCCTTCCTCAGAGCCCTTCCAGTTCTCTACTTGACCTGTATAACCCTAACCTCTCCCTCTGTTTTTTCACCTGGCCTTCTCCTCTTCTCTTGTGTTTGTTCTTTGTGTGTTTCTTGTGATGATATTTGCCACTGGATTTGGAGCTCACTGGGATAATCCACAATGGATTCATCGTGAGATCTTTCACTTAATGACATCTGCAAAGCCCCCCTTTTCAAGTAAGATTGTACTCCCAGGTTCTGGGAATTACAATGTCCCCTCATTTAACTCACAACATCATCTTGGGTGGACTGTCTTATCTTGGCAATTCAGGAGTTCAGTGGATAATAAACATAATGTCCAAGTAAAAAGAGAATGTCTTAGGGTCAGGCAAGATGCTAAGGCCTAACTCCACTTGTGGAGTCGAAGGGACAAGTCAGGGAAAAGTCAATGTCAGGGTTGGGTCTCAGTGGATAAATAAGTTCAAGAAAGAGGCAGGCTTTTCAGGCTGAGGGTGTAAATGTGCTGAGTCAGGGTTGGGACTAGCTTTCTTCCTAGTGATCTGAGAAAAGACTGAGAAATTCAGAGAGGAAGAAGCCTGAGGGCAGAGAGCTAGGAGATGAAGGTGAACTAGGATATACATGGGACCACATCATAAAACCAAAGCACTTGGTGCTGGCAAAATTGGAAAGCTGTCTGCAGAAGACTCAAGCAAGATCCACACCTCACTCCTTATACAAAAACCAATTCAAGGGGGATCATGGACCTAGGACTAAAACCAAGAACTATAAATGTCATTAAAGAAAAGCTTGGAAGAACTTTAGTAGTTCTAATCCACAACATAAAAAGTCTTCCAAGTATCCTGAAAAATCTACAATCGAGAGAAGATAAAACAGATGAATGGGACCTTCTAAGAATCACATCCCTATGCACATCCAAAAACTTCTCCAATAGGGTAAAAAGGGAAGCCACAGACTGGGAAAAAAATATTTGGTAATGACATGTCAGATAAGGGACTTATATCCGGAATTTATAAAATACTTGAACACCACAATATGACTGAGTATTATAGTTAGCACAGGAATCCAGAATTAAGGTTGCTTAGAGATGTGTACTCGGGGTGGGGGGTGGAGGGAAGGGATGGGGGAATTGTATACCAATGAAGGAATTTTTTTTTCCTTTTTCTTTTCGGAGAGGGGAGTGAACTGGTAGGGAGGGGTGGGCAGGGAGAAAAGGGAGGCAATGAATGAATGGAAATCCAAAATCTCTGTAACTGTTTATTAAAATTAATTTTAAAAAATTAAAAAGAAAACAAACCAAAAAACAAAAACAAAGCACTGAGGTTCATCTTGTTGGCAGTGCAGGAATGACAGACGCTGATGGAAGTGAGTGGCATAAACAACCTGCTTTCTAGGAGGTAATTCAAGAAGTAGTGGTTAGAAGCCAAGAATATTAGACCCTCATCAAACAATCCTTAGTTTAGGAAATGGTCTTTTGCAAAAATGTCAAAGAACAGATAATAAACAAGGTATTAAGGGGTGGGAAAGGACGCCAGATTCAAAACACTCTTGTCTGTACAATTACATTCAGTAGCAAAGAGCCTGCTCCATTATAATTTCTACAAAAAAGGTGCTTATCTGAACTTAATTAATTCCTCAACTGCTTGACATTCTAGTCTAGAAACCACTTATAAATACTTTACTCTCACAAACATTTCCATGAGAGAGTAAGACAGTAATGATTTGTCTCATGGAAGAGGAAATCAAGAGTGAGAGAGACAGGTGACTAGAACCATGGCTACTGACAGGGCTGGGAATTTGAGAATATTTCTTAATTAAGGGGTAAGTAAGGAGAGCTGCTATTATCTTTTTTCTCTTTTTGCCATAGGACTTCCTCTTTACTCTTAAAAAACATTGTTAAAAAGACATTCTGTAATAAAAAAACTTGGTATGAGTCCCAGCCCTGTCAGTAGCCATGGTTCTAGTCACCTGTCTCTAGCAAAACTAACAAAAGAAAAGAGAGAGAAGACACAAATAATCCGAATAAGAGATGAATCAGGCAACATCACAACAGACCCAACTAAAATAAAAAAGCTAACATTAGAATACTATGAAATACCACCAAAATAGAATACTATAGGCCAATACCTCTCATGAATATTGATGCAAAAATCCTAAATAAAATACTGGCAAATAGAATCCAACGATACATAAAAA